ATTCAACTGAATGCCATGCCTCACTAGGCTGTGATTATTGGCAACTAGTTTGAGACAAAAAAGTTACAAAACATTCCCAAAGGGTTAATACACACAACGCAGTGATGCGGTATTTCTGTAGCCTCCTGGCTTTGCCAGGTGTGCGTCCCTTTTCAGCATGGCGGCCATTGATTGTTTTGAAGAGACGAACATGTTTTGTTCATTTTTCTCTGAGGTATTTTTTTGTTTTTATGTGTTTTTTATTGTTTTATGATGAATATGTTTGAAAGAAACTCAACTCAATAAGATGACATCCATACATTATAGACGTGTTACTTTAAATGAAAGAGTGAATTTTTTCTTTAGCGACGGAACGGTGCAAAATTGTCCCATTTACACGTTCAACCAAAAATTCCTGAGACGAGGTATAATCAGGAGATTTTTGTCTGTAACTTGAACCACTTAGTGAAAGTAAACAGCTGTTAGTTTTATCGCCTTCAGAGCGAGGACGACTGGAGCCTTTTGCTTTCAGCTCTCAGACGAAGAGACATTTTTATCGTTTCAAGGTTCTGCCGTCTTACAGCCAACGTGTGAAGACCCTGCTTCCTCTGTGGTGCTGTCTTTACATTAATGATAGTTTTAGGGCGGTTTAATACAATGTGAAAAATTCTTTCCATGCACCTAGTTATCAGGTGAGTGCTGGCAGCACACATCCGTCAGTGTCCTCGTGTAAAAAAGGATTTTTCTCCTTACTTCCTTTGCAAAACATAATAATGAGTACAATCGGTGCCGTATTGTTCCAGGAGTTTTGTATAATAAAGAATAATGTTGGATAGAGCATATTACTCCTTCCCTTCATTGTTGGAACAGGTTTGTATAAAACACCCTGGTTAATAATGCATGTCTAATTCCTGCTTCACGCCTTCAGGGTCAGCTATTATGCCGTAGTACTTTATGCAACTTTAACTGCATTCAGCTGAAAAAGAATTCCCCTTTCACCGTGTGATTGCCCTCAGCTGGAAAGAATCCGTGCTCGGTAGTAGATGATTTTCTAAATGTGCAAATAGCGTTGGAGCAGTTAGGAATGAGGGCTGCATTGGATCCAGGGAAGCTCCAGCTATTGGGCGTGTCAGAACTGAGCCGCTGTCGCGTTTTCATCGGTCAGAAGCAGAAAAGTCTACAGTTGAAGCGCCTTCCTTCTAACTGCTGCATTCATCTCCACTTGTTTGCACTGAATACAATTTAGTGTCACTTTCTCCGGGCTGTAAGAGCTTAGATTCAGAGGCTTTCTTAACCCCATTACCTCCTAATACTCCTCTCCCCTTCATCTATAATGAAGTAGGATTCAGCTGTTGATCACTGTCACGGCCCTTCCCACTCACCATTTTCTGTTTGTGTCTTTGTTTAGCTGTGGCCAACGTTTCAGGGCTGATTTCTAAGACATTAAATGAAGAGCAGACGTGAGAGAAGTTTTCATTTTCTAGAAAAGAACGTGCTCAGAATCCCTCCATCAGAAACTAGACTCAATGTTATTACCCTCATAATGGAAAGCACTTTTCCTGTGAAGCTTCTATGTGTGCCCCCCCCCCCCCCCCCCCCCTTCTCTAAATTATTGATGGCTGGTAAAGACTTTTGGGGATGTAAGCGTTTTAGATTAAAGAGGAGCAACTTGGCAGCCGTGTTGTTGCAGGTCGGACATCACAGGCCTTTGTCCTTTAACCCTCTCAGGCTCAAAATAAGTTTTGATAAAAGGATGAACAACTAAGTCCTTCAGGGGTACTTCTGAGTTAAAATACGCATGTGTGGAGTAACCAGGTAGGTAGGTTTTAACGTGGCTAATCTGCAACGCCTGCCTCCAGAGGGTTAAAGGCAAACTAAGTACGTTTTTTATAAGTAAGTAAAACTTTATTTATATAGCACTTTTCACAGATAAAATCACAAAGTGCTTCACAACATGCATAAAAAGGCAAAACAGGACAGGAGCACAAGGTCAACTTACATAAAAGCTTGTCTAAATAAACATGTCTTCAGCTGCTGTTTAAAAGAATCAACGGAGTCGGCCACACGAAGAGACGGGAGCTACAGCTTGAAAGGACAGGTCCCTCTAGTTTTAAATCTGGTCTTAGGGACCTTCAGTAGGTTCTGACCCGAGGACCGTAGAGTGCGGCCAGAAGAGTGAGGGATTAAAAGGTCTGATCAATATGGTGGAGCTTGTCCATTAAGAGCTCTAAAAGTCAAAACTAAAATTTTAAAATCAATTCTAAACTCGACCGGTAGCCAATGGAAAGAAGATAAAGCCGGTGTTATGTGAGCCCTGCTATTGGTTCCTGTTAAAAGCCTCGCTGCAGCGTTCTGGACCAACTGGAGACGACTGACATCTGATTTGTTAAAACAAGTAAAGACTGAGTTACAATAATCTAAATGAGAGGAAATGAAAGCATGGATAGTCATCTCCAAGTCCGATTCTGAAGTAAAAGCTCTCAATTTGGAAATGTTTCGCAAATGATAAAAGCAGTTCTTTACTAAATGTTTTGAGTGGCAGCTCAGAGACATGGACTGGTCAAAAAGAACACCAAGGTTTATGTGTTTAAAATCATTTTCTTGAGCCAGTATGTGGAAAAAGGACCCTTTACAGGGCTGATGACAAGTCACTCAGCCCCCTCCACCTCTTGTGAGCCGGATGCCCCGTCTGTAACTTCAGCCTCTCTGACGTCTCGCTGAGTCACGTGGCTTCCCTGAAGCTGGAACGCTTTACGACTCAGGACAGACAAGCTACACCTGGGTAGCGTTTATTGTAGCATGTTTATCATGGCAGAACCTCAGAAGAGACAAAAAACCATTTATCAGATGAAGCTAAAAATAAATGAAAAGAACATCCGACCACAATACGAGTCAAACGAGCCAACATGAAGAGTTTTCTGACTCCAGAGAGCTCAGAGACAAGGAAGGATTGGAGTTTATTAGAAATGGTTTCTAAATATGTTTGTCAGGTGGTAGTGACCACGTCCCGGTCTGTCACTCTAAGACCATAAGCTCTGTTTTTACCGGCAAACGCTCAGTGGGGGATGCTTTAGCATCTCTAGCTGAGGTCCTTGTGTCCTCACAAACATCAGATCCTCACGTTTCCTGCATGTTTTAGATTGTAAACACGACTGATTTGTTTGATTTAGTGATGAGCCGCTCCTGTAGAAACTAATAAAAGTCGAGGAGACATTTCACCTGTTTTGTTTTTACGACTGAATTCAAACAAACACTAGGGGGCGCTAAAAACAAGCCAAAGTTGCAAAGTGTGCCTTGATTCTTGTTGACTGGGCGGACTGAACTCTTCCTGGAGTTACAGCAGAAACGATGCAAAACACAGGTGAATCTGGAAAATTTAGAATGTTGTACAAAGGTTCATTTATTTCATTTATTCAATTTGAAAGTTTGAACCAATACCTGGGATAGACTGATTCCAGGTGATTCCAGGTATGAAAACCCCAAATTCGAAATCTCAGACGATTAGAATATTGTGAAAAGGTTCAATATTCTAGACTCAAAGTGTCACTCTCTAATCAGCTGATGAATCCTAAACACCTGCAAGGAGTACCCGAGCCTTTAGATGGTCTCTCAGTCGAAGTAGGATGGCTGACACAAATGGACTTTTACTAAAAGCAAAGTTCCAGTTTGGTGCAATTAAGCACAATGTCTGTATTTCTTTACAGCTTGTGCAGAATGCAGCAATACAGTGTCAGGAAGGGGAGGAAAACAAAGCATGCAGCAAGGACAGTATGTGGTGGAGTAAGACGAGAGAAGAAGATGGACGTCCTGGAGGAATGAGACTCAAAACCAAAATGTTGGAAATGAGAAAGTGGAGGGCAGCCCTGAGACGGAGAGAAGTCCCGGGGTGGGATATCGATCCGACACACAGATCTAAATGAGACGAGAGGGCATGCTGGAGAACACTAGAGCCGGCTGTAACCCAGCTGTGGGACGTTGGGTTGGTTAAAAACTACGTTTGGGTGCCTGAATTGTAAACGTGATCAGTGTAAACAAACTAAATGATCAGCTCTGTGGTATTTTGTAGGGTTTGAAGGAAAATTACATGTTTTTTGTATTCTGTGCATCTTTAAACTCCTAAAGTACGTTTCTGACTGTTTGGGTTCGTTTTCTTCCACCATTGTTATGCTTATAAGCTGTTGCTCGTCATTTAAAATAGAAAACCACAGAAAACAAGTGACCTAACCTTAAAATGCTCTCAGACTTTAATTCTCTATTTCTGAGACGTATTCAGAACCAGACAATACGATGGGTGTGAGACGGCCTGTTTTCCTCCGGCAGTTTGCTCCGTCTTCCAGTCTCCTGACTTTAATTATTAATGTTACATTGACACACGGCATACTGAGAAAGGGTTATGAGCCGCAGAAATATGAGCAATCCTGTATAACAAGAGACACGGATATGAAATTAATTAAAATTGTGAACTCCGAAAACCTGATGCAACAAAAGATGTGGCTGAAATGTGCACGAGCCGAATGTGTGGTGCTGCAGAAACACTTCACCAGTTTGGATGTTGACCCCAATTTTTATTTCACACCTTTTTTAAAAATTCTCTAAATGAAGGTTACTGAGTGAAACACGGAAAAGTCGTATTTTAAGATGTGATGAACGTCAGCCTCCCCATCTATTTATTATTCTATGCAGTCGTCTTCACCGAGGGTTTTAGAGGTAGTTAGTGGTGCCACATTTCATTTATTCAGCTTGTTTGGATTGTGATTAGTATTTTGAGACTTTTTTTTTTTTGATCGTTCAGTAAATAGAGTCTGAAGTGAATTATTTTCCTCACGTTCTAAAACTCCCATCTACATATTTGAAATTGCAAAACTCAGGGCTGGGTAAAGAAAGCCTGCCAGAGTTCCCATCCCAGAGTTACTTACCCCAATTACCTGAATATTGAACGAGGCGTCTTGTCGGGACAAATCAATACTGGCTTTCTGTTTGTGCAGCTGCAGAAGTGACACCGCCTCACCTTTCTCTTTCAGGGGAACAGTGGAGGCACGCTTTGTTTACGTCTTTGTTTTGGGAATCCTCTTCACGGGCACCAAGGGCCTCCTGCGGTCCCAGATCCTCACGGCAGACGCCAAACTCAAGAGCAGAGGATTATGGGAGATATACAGCGGGCTAGTTCTGTTGGTTTCACTTTTGTTTCGTGCTCACAACCTGCCCGTCCTCTGCTGCTGCCTCTTAATCCAGACACTGATGGCTCAGTTTATCTGGAAGAAGCTCCACTATGATGCAGCCCAGACCACCATCATGCACTACTGGTTTGGTCAAGCCTTCTTCTACTTCCAGGTATGGGTGTGTGGGTGTGTGTGCGTGTGTGTGGTGCAAGGTAACGGTTTTGTGTTCTACTGCTGGTCATAAAATTAGAACGTCGTGACAAAGTTGATTTATTTCAGTAATTCCATTCAAAAAGTGAATCTTGTATATTAGATTCATTTATTACACACAGACTATATTATAAATGTTCATTTAGTTAATGCTGATGGTTATAACTGGGCTGCATGGTGGAGCAGTGGTTAGCACTGTTGCCTCGCAGCACGAAGGTCGCAGGTTTGAAACTCGGCTGCGGCCTTTCTGCGTGGAGTTGCGTGTTCTCCCCATGCATGCGTGGGTTTCCTCCGGGTTCTCCGGTTTCCCCCACAGATCACAACACGCCCTACAGGTTATAACCTGTAAGTTGCTTTGGATAAAAGCGTCTGCTAAATAAATAAACATCAACATACAAAATTTATGACTGAAAATTAATGAAAATCCCAAATTCTGTATCTCAGAATAATAGTATACATCAAATAAGACCAATGCAAATAAAGGAGTTTTAGAAATGTTGACCAGCTGAAAAGTATGAGGGTGGACAAAACGCAGTACTTAGTTAGGGCTCCTTTGGCCTGGATTACTGCAGCAATGTGGCGTGACATGGAGTCCATCAGTCTGTGGAACTGCTCAGGTGTTATGAAAGCCCTTGTTGCTCTGATGGTGGCCTCCAGCTCTTCCAAAATTGTGTCTTTGGCTTGCTGCATCTTCCTCTTCACAATACCCCATAGATTTTCTATCCTCACGTTTCCTGCATGTTTTAGATTGTAAACACGACTGATTTGTTTGATTTAGTGATGAGCCGCTCCTGTAGAAACTAATAAAAGTCGAGGAGACATTTCACCAGTTTTGTTTTTACGACTGTGAATTCAAACAAACACTAGGGGGTGCTAAAAACAAGCCAAAGTTGCAAAGTGTGCCTTGATTCTTGTTGACTGGGCAGACTGAACTCTTCCTGGAGTTACAGCAGAAACGATGCAAAACACAGGTGAATCTGGAAAATTTAGAATATTGTACCCAACAGCTTCTTGCGTTTGGATAAGCTGTTACGTTTTGGTTTAGAGTTCATCTTTTTTGTGGTGCAGATCTCCCTTTTATTACATTTAGAGTGTTGTGGGTTTTTGGTTTCGTTTAAGATATCACCTTGAGTTTGGTTTAACCACCCAGTTTAGAGTTGGACCTTTGGAGATTATTATTTTGGTCCAGAACCCAGTAATCTTTGCCCAGTGGGACATCCCTAGTTATGTGTACTTTGTTTTAATTCCCCACAGGCAGAATTAGTTTTATTATTCCCAACCTGTGGATGGAAAGATTTATGATTTTTGTAGTTGTAAATAAACCCGATCATCATTTTAACTTTCAAATCCCGTTAGTAATTAAGTAAGTAAAAGTTTATTTATAGAGCGCCTTTCACAGATATAAATCACAAAGCGCTGTACAACATGATAAAGATCAGGGCAAATACCTCTAACCAATAAAAACATCAGAAAAACAATAGCAGTGATAAAGTAGAAAATTAAATCATGAGTATAAACAAAGTGAAGGTGTGAACCCAAACAAAGCCATCTTTTTGAAACATTTAGAGGTGGAACATTTATTGTCCCTTCCTTTTTGCACACGAGCCAAACTCCTCAGGAAGAGTCGTAACACCACTCGCCTCACACTCATAAGTGACCAAAACAAAGCAGCATGGAGACACTCCGTCTCCAACCACCTCTCAGGCAGCAGCCTGCACTCCCAAGTTCTACACGTCACCAGAACATAACCGACCAACACAATAAAAGCAGTGTTATACAAAATGGAAGGCCTGTAGTGTTTATTCTCTTACAGTAACAATTTATCAATTTTTTTGAGGAATTTATTAGAGATTTTTTGGTTTTTGTTAACTGTGCAATAGAAAAATTGTCATTAGATTAATTGTCTAAATAGTCATTAGAATAGTCGACTATTCAATAAAATAATCGTCAGAATGATCATTTTAAAAATAATCGTTTACCCCCAGCCCTAGTCATTTTACTTTACATCTTTTAGCTTTCACCAGCACATCAACATCAGAAGTCACATCCTGAGTGGCGGCCAACTTCAGGATGTGATTCAAGTTCTTGTGTGAGCCTTGAGCGCAGCTTTGTTTTATTTATACTCGTTACAGAGAAAACTTGCTCACAAAGATAAGTTTATTTTCACTCTACATTGTAAAGTATGAAAATAAAGTTTACACAACCATCTCGTGGGCCGGATTTAACCCGCTTGCGTGCCGGATCCGGCCCACGGGCCGCATGTTTGACACCCCTGGTTTAAAGGCTTTTGCAGGTGTTTTGAGTTAGTTAGCTGATTAGAGTGTGGCACCAAGGGCCTTTGATATTGAACTTTTTCACAATCTTTTAATATTCTCAGATACTGAAATTGGGATTTTCATTAGTTGTCAATCATCAAAATTAAAATAGACATTTGAAATATGTCAGTCTGTGTGTGACGAATTAATCTAATATGCACTTTTTTAATGGAATTACTGAAATAAATCAACTTTTTATGACCAGCTCTTGTATTTTGTAGATCTAACAATATTTGAGCTCTATTTGAATTTCTTGGTTCTTTTTAAACAGAAAAAAAAGTTGTTCTTTACCTTGCTTGCTAATGTGTCGGGCTACTTGCTGGAGCCATCCTCAGAGCTGTGATGGTGTTGGTGTTAAAACAAAAACAGCAAATGCAAGATGAAAAGAACACAGAAAGAATGTACAGAAGATGTTTAGATTGAGCTCTACTAGGCTTGGGCGGTATCCAAATTTTAATACCGTCTAGCTTCCTCCACATTTTACCAAGGTGTAGGGTATTACCGGGACTCATTTAAAAATGACGACATAAGCTTCAAGTGGCATCCTGACCAGATGTCCGAGCCACCTCAATTGGCTCCACTGGACATGGAGAAGCAGCGGGTCTACTCCGAGCCCCTCCCGGATGACCGAGCTTCTCACCCTATCTCTAAGGGAGAGCCCAGCCACCCTGCGGAGAAAATAGATTTTTGTTTCTTGTATATCTTGTCATTTCGGTCACTACCCAAAACTTGTGACCATAGGTGAGTGTAGGAACGTAGGTCAGCTGGTAAATTGAAGGCTGCAGACGCAGCACCAATTTGTTTGTCGATATCCCGCCTCAGCTTTCCCTCACTCGTAAACAAGACCCCGAAATACTTAAACTCGGGGCAGGACCTCATCCCTAACCTGGAGAAGGCATTGTACCCTTTTGCGACTCAAGACCATGGTCTCCGCTTTAGGGGAGCCACTTCTCATCCCAGCTGCTTCAGTCTCGGCTAAGACCTGCTCCAGCTAAAGCTGGAGGTCACGGTTTGATGGAGCCAACAGGATCACATCGTCCTGATCTTTGGCCCACCTAAACAGATCCCCTCAACACCTTGGCTGCGCCTAGAAATCCTGTCCATAAAAGTTGAGAACAGAATATGTGACAAAGGGCAGCCTGGAGTCCAACTCCCACTGGAAAGGAGCCGGACTTATCAGTAATGCGGACCAAGCTCTGACACCGGTCATACCCAACAGACCTATTAAAGGGCCTGGTACCCCAGCTCCAGCGGTGGGCTCCTTTAACCCAGAATTCTCCCCCTGCCGGCGTTTACTGCTACCATAACTTTATTAAAACCCTCAATGTGTAAAATGGTTGATACAACAGATTCTGGGCCAGTCAGACGTGCTGCGAAAATAAATCACAGCTTTAACGATCACTTGATCCTGGCGTCTGAAATCACAACTTTGATCCTAAAACTAAACACTTCTTCCTTTTGGTGGAGCACCCTAACATGCATAACGTGTTTTGTTAAATAAGAACAGTTAAACCACCAAATGAACACTAAAAAGTAAAAGTCACGCCGTCCAAACACAGAGCTAATAATTCTGTTTGTACACACTGAAAGCAGGCATGTTCATTTGGTGCAAACGTCTGCTCAGTAATGATCTTCTGTGTGCTGAAATCATGTCCCTCAATATGTGGGTCTCGCACACATTAAACACACCGTAACAAAGGGACTGTGTGTTAGCTCGGAGACCGATAGGACACAGTGGAGAGGACAAAGCTCAGATAAAAGGAGCCAGCAGAGAAAATGATAAACTCGCTCATTAGGTTTACAGGAGCATCCCGGGACAGGAAGGAATGCTTTAGTTCTTACTTTTAGTCGACTAAGATAACGAAAACAGCAGCGTCGCAATAGTTCATTTTATTTGTACTTTAAAAAGAAATACTTTCTATCTTTCTCCAACAGGAAGTTCAGGATGAAGCAGGTTTTGGTTTTATCATCAGAGAAATCTAAACCAGCGCTCTGACACGGAGGGTGATCAGGTCCAAGGAAGCCTTCACCTGTACCAAAGTGCTGATTCTGTTAGCGGAGCGCCTCAGGGCTGCTTCCTGTTTTTATATAAACTGAGTTACAAAAGGCCAGCTGAGCAAATAGTTTTCACTGGGTGTGTGTTTTAGTGTTGAGATCACCTCAGAGGCAGAGGCGATACCTGCTATTTGATTTACGCTCCTCTCACGGCGGATATTTGCCTAGCAGCTGTGTGTGCATCACTGTCCACAGAACTTCCACATCGATAACAGTCTAATAACCCCCATCCCCCGGGGTCATTAATGCCATGATGGGCTCGGGAATAAACCGCCACCAGACATTTTCTGTCCGGGCGTCAAGGCATGTAATTACAGACCTTTGGATAATAATGTTCTCGAGCAGCTGCAATCATAATGAATGCAAATCGGAGCGACGTGATTTAAAGAAACAAAACCATGCGTCAAGTATAATAAACAGCATTAAGTTTAATTAAAATGTAATCAGTAGCTTTGGTGACGCTCGATCATTGCCCACAAACCCGTCGCTGCTGGAAGACTTTCAGGAAACAAGCTGTTTTTATTTCTGCGTTTGTCTCAAATTGATGAGAAAGTTTTTAGAGTTTGTTTGTGTCTCCCCTGCAGTTTTCTTCTTTTACTTTTACTTATTGGGGAAGTTTTTTTCTCACAGTACAGCCACCATCCCTTCACTGGTTACACATAGACACGCTTGGTTCCTACGATGGAATTTCATTGGAAACCTAATTTTCTCTAGCCTAGAGATCTAGACCGGCAAAATGATTTTGGTTTGCAAGTCGGGCTAGCCACTCCATCAGAGCCTCAGCAGGCTCACAGCACTCTATCGACTTTGGTGGGCCAATCACAGCACTCTGTCGATTTGGTGAGCCAGTCACAGCACTCTGTCGATTTTGGTGGGCCAATCACAGCATTCTATCGACTTTGGTGGGCCAATCACAGCACTCTATCGATTTGGTGGGCCAATCACAGCACTCTATCGCTTTGGTGGGCCAATCACAGCATTCTATCGATTTTGGTGGGCCAATCACAACATTCTATTGATATGGTGGGCCAATAACAGCACTCAATCGATTTGATGGGCCAATCACAGCATTCTATCGCTTTGGTGGGCCAATCACAGCACTTTTATCGATTTGGTGGGCCAGTCACAGCACTCTATCGCTTTGGTGGGCCAATCACAGCATTCTATCGATTTTGTGGGCCAATCACAGCACTTTTATCGATTTGGTGGGCCAGTCACAGCACTCTATCGCTTTGGTGGGCCAATCACAGCATTCTATCGATTTTGTGGGCCAATCACAGCACTCTATCGATTTGGTGGGCCAATCACAACACTCTAGCGATTTGGTGGGCCAATCACAGCATTCTATCGATTTTGTGGGCCAATCACAGCACTCTATCGATTTGGTGGGCCAATCACAGTGCTCTATCGATTTTGGTGAGCCAGTCACAGCATTCTATCGATGTGGTGGGCCAATAACAGCACTCAATCGATTTGATGGGCCAATCACAGCATTCTATCGCTTTGGTGGGCCAATCACAGCATTCTATCGATTTTGTGGGCCAATCACAGCACTCTATCGCTTTGGTGGGCCAATCACAGCATTCTATCGATTTTGTGGGCCAATCACAGCACTCTATCGATTTGGTGGGCCAATCACAACACTCTAGCGATTTGGTGGGCCAATCACAGCATTCTATCGATTTTGTGGGCCAATCACAGCACTCTATCGATTTGGTGGGCCAATCACAGTGCTCTATCGATTTTGGTGAGCCAGTCACAGCATTCTATCGATGTGGTGGGCCAATAACAGCACTCAATCGATTTGATGGGCCAATCACAGCATTCTATCGCTTTGGTGGGCCAATCACAGCATTCTATCGATTTGGTGGGCCAATCACAGCACTTTTATCGATTTGGTGGGCCAATCACAGCACTCTATCGCTTTGGTGGGCCAATCACAGCATTCTATCGATTTGGTGGGCCAATCACAGCACTCTATCGCTTTGGTGGGCCAATCACAGCATTCTATCGATTTTGGTGAGCCAGTCACAGCACTCTAGCGATTTGGTGGGCCAATCACAGCACTCTATCGATTTTGGTGAGCCAGTCACAGCACTCTAGCGATTTGGTGGGCCAATCACAGTGCTCTATCGATTTTGGTGAGCCAGTCACAGCATTCTATCGATTTTGTGGGCCAATCACAGTGCTCTACAGATTTTGTGGGCCAATCACAACATTCTATCGATTTGGTGGGCCAATCAGAATGGGCCAGTTGCAGCGCTTGATCGATCTAGTTGGCCAATCACAGCACTCTATCGATTTGTGGAAGCAATCAGAATGAGCCAATCACAGCGCTCTATCGATTTGTGGGAGCAATCAGAATGAGCCAATGCAGCACTTTATCGATCTAGTGGGCCAATCAAAGCGCTCTATTGATTTGATGGGCGGAATAATGCTGCGTCTGAGTGGAAAACTAAAGATGGTGATGAGATGCTGAAAGCCGTTTGAAACGGCTTTGGCATCACCTTTGGATCATTAGACTTGGGCATATCTTTGAGTCAAGAACAGATAGAGGTACTTGAGTCCTTTATTTATTTTTAAATTAATTTGCCCCTTTACTTGGGACAGCAGTAGCTCAGGAGGTAGAGCGGGTTGTCCAGTAATCAGAAGACTGCTGGTTTGATCCTGGCTCTGACCAGAGAATACTGCTGTTATGTCCTTGGGCAAGACACTTAAGCCTGATTCATGCTTCTCCGTCAGCTCCAACAGCAAGAGACACGCACGGACGGAGATGTTTAGCCCTCATACTTCTCCGTCTCCTGGGAAGTGTTGCAAAGCAATTCCCCGCCAGAACAACAGAGGGCGTAGCGCTATTCTGTGGTATCCTGTCATGTATCCGGCCCAAGATAGTGTGTTTATATTGTGTTTTTTGAATATAAGAGACTTTTTAACACGGACATATTTGTCTCTCATTCTCCCACCTCTTCATGCGCTCACCACCTCTAAACCCACGTTTCCTGTCATTTCCGTCCACAAATAAAATGCTTGCTGCGCATCTTTTCACTCCTCCAGTCACTGGGAATTACACGTTCATACTTTTAGAGTTTTTTTCGCGAGGTATTATTCAAGCTTCTCCGTGTCCGCCGCTAGTTATTCTCTGCTCTCTTTATGTTTTTGAGGGCGCAATGGCGGCGGTGTAGACGCCAGAGGTGTCCTGACCAATCACAAGCTTGCATTCTCCGTCTCGACGGACGGATGTTTAGAAAAGAGAGCTAGACTCCGTCCGTCCTTGTGGGGCTCTCCAGCAGGCCTGCAAGGACGGATAATGGCGTTACGTGTCTCCGCACTGACGCAGACGCAGAAGCATGAATCAGGCTTTAGCCCGCATTGCTTGCTGGTGGTGGTCGGAGGGACAACTGGCACCTTTGTTCAGCAGGTCTAGCCTCTGTCAGCATGCCCCAGGTGTGGCTACATCGTAGCTCATCCCCACCAGTGTGTGACTGGGTGGTTGACTGATTGTATTGTGAAGCGCCTTGGGGGGTTGTAGAATCCTAAGAAAGTGCTATATAAATACAGGCCATTTACCATTTATTTAGAAAAAGGATGTAGTTATGTCTTCTTCAGTGGTGTATGGCGGACTGCCCCATTGACTGACTTCCAGAGGGGTGAGTACGTCATGTTGTTCTTTGTCCAAAAGCATGCTTAGATTTGACCTCATGACTGAGATCTGTCTATTGGTCATGGCCGGACTATATTTTCACATATGTAGGATGGCTTGCCAAGCAAAATTTTCTCAGCTTCTGCATCGGCCAACCTTGTTGTGAGCTGGTCTCTGAGTTACTTCTGCATTTAATGCTACAATAGCAAATCTGCTAAACAAGCTAGCTTAAAATATTTTTGTCATGTCATTTAACTCAACATAATGTGTTGTGGTGTTAAAAAAAACACTATGAAAAAATTTTGTCTAAAAACTTCCACAACAACTCGACTTGGTCTGAAACCAACGTTCGGACCATCCTGTTGTCTGTTTCACCGAACCAAGTAAATAATTCCATCCATCACCTCAGATTCAGGTGCATGTCTCAATTTTGTATCATCCAGCATCTAAATGTGAAAACTTTGCACCACTGTATTCGAGTAGTGTTCAAAACACTTATGGGAAATACTTCAGCTGCAAACCCTGCTAGTGGCACGGTGAGGTCAGAAATCGAAGTTCTCGCTGGAGAGTCTTTGACTCTCTGCCTTTAATTGTCAGACGTAGCTGTAGGCCTTCATGGATTCATTTATCTCCATCTGCAACCAAACGGCCATCCAGGCGTGCTTACTTCCTACAAATGAGCCTGTTTCTTCAAATGCTGCCATGTGGGCAGGAACATTTCTTTTCAGAGTTGTGTTTCTTTGAACATTTCGGACTCTGAACAAGCTGCATCAAACCAAACACACCGGCTTTGATGAGATACTGTCTGTTGGAAATTTCTTGTTGTTCCGTATTTTCCCAAGCAATAAATTTGCTGTTGGTACAAAATGAAATTTGAAACATCTCAGCGCGATTTCAACAAGAAAGCAAAAGAAACAAAAAAGTCATTCTGCGGCCTCCAACCTGCTTACTCAGGTTTACTTTTTGTTTGAAATGGGGTTTCGTCCTCACAGATCAGAAGAATGTGTGCAGATGGAGAAGAAACAGTTAGTGGATGTGTTGCAGTTTGCAGATCATCAAAGAATTCAAAAAGAAAGTTGTCTTTGATCTCTGCTGAGCTTTGCAGATTTTATTTGTGAGTGTACATAAGATGAAAGCACACACATATGACAATCACTAACTCCTGGTTCTGCTAAAGACATGTTAATAATACTGTGAGGTTTGGATTTTAAACATGGGAGTCAATCGTACTTTGCTCCTTTCTGGATCCAGCCCCTAGTGGATGCGGAGGGAATTACAGCTTTTGTCACTTCTGCATTGGCTTCACTATTGGCATTTCCCCAACAAAAACATCTGGACCACTGAGAAGTTAGAATAACTCCAGAAACCAAAGATCTGTTTCTGGAGAACTTTTATCAGTCACATTTTTGATCCTGTCAGCTTGTTTCTGCACCCTTGGCGAAGCTAAAAGAACTTTTTTGTCCGTGTTCCTGCAGGGCAACTCCAACAACATAGCCACTGTCGACATTTCAGTCGGCTTTGTTGGACTGGAAAGCTACATCGAAGCACCTGCCATCGTTTTAACGGCCCTCAGCACTTACGCAGGCCCCCTCCTGTGGGCGTGTCACCTGGTCTGCTACCTGAGCTCAGAGAGAGAAAGGTAAGAGGTTTGAAAGACGTTGCAGAAACATCTAGTTTGCGCATCTGCAGTGAAATATAGAGGTTGGGTGAATTCTTAATTCATGAATTAGTCAACAAAGGAACTTGTTTTAGTAGTTATAGAAAGCAAACAATGTTTGTTTGCTGTAATATATGGAGTTTATTGTCCATCGCCAAAAGGAGGGTGGTAATGATCTGTCTGTTAGATAAATATCTCATGAACCACTGATTAGAGTGGAGTAAAACTTTCAGAATGTTTCATCTAACTTGGATCTATAACAGTGGCGGCTGGTGAAAAATATTTTTGGTGGGGCTGTGCTATTTTTTATTTTTAAACAAACTTGTGCTTTCTGAGCTTTGTGCACAACTTCACTATTTCCTGAATTAAGCACAGCTCTATTATTTCCTGTCTTACATTATTGGACAAAGGGATTAATCCAGGTGTGTCTGACTATTGGCACGCTGCCTTGCGGACCAAGGTTGAAAAATACTGCATTAAATTGCACATAAAATAACACGACCATAAATGGTAAATAGGCAATGCAAGAGGCAAGTAACAAAAACATTTTGTTTAATTTCAACATTTGAGTGAACACGAAAAATTATGAGCAGGTCAGTGTTACAGTAATGGTAGTAAACACTACTTAGACAAAATGCCAGAAATTTACACTGTTAGGACTTATGGAAAGTGGAAACACTTTCATAGGAAATAATGTCATCAGTATCCTCTTACAAATGGCATATTTCCCACTTTTTGGGACAATAAAACATTTCTGGTTCTCAATGAGATGTTTTTACTTCAAATGTAAAAACATCTCATTGAGAATCAGAAATGTTTTATTGTCCCAAAAGCTGGGAAATTTGTTTGCTGCAGCAGAAGTGTAACTAGTAAAATGGAATCAGATTGATGTATGTACAAATTTACTTGAAATACACATTTACATGATTAAATATGTATAATAGGTATGTGTGTTGAAATGAGTTTTTACAGTTGTAGAGAAATAGAGTGATGAAACTATCTAGAGTTGTATTTTAATACACTGTAAGTAGATCACTTGTTATAATCAGAAGAATAGGCTGTTTTTATCATCAGGGAGTTTAATTAAACACTCTGTATTGACTTTGAGACAAGAAAAGAGAGAGAGATGGGATCGTTTGAGAATCTTTAATTTCTTAATTATAAATTATTAACAATCTACCAGGACTAACACTGTGATGGATGAAAATGGATTTGGATGTTGTGTTGGTGCGTGTGTGTGTGTTTTGTTCAGGATCTTTAGGCTGACGTCATTGAATCTGGTAGTCTGATTGTTATGACTAGATATCACGAGGCTTATAAAGTGATGACATGAGCTGCTATTTTGCCGTGTACGTACCCAGTGGGGGGCCTCCCAGGTAGATCAGGAAATGCCAAGTCTGGAGACCTCGGATGTGTACTGGAGCTGTCGAAACAGCGATCGCAGCATTTCAAAGCCCGTCTGAAGGGTCGACCCAGGTAACAATCGGCAGCGTCAGCAGGTGCTCTTATTTTGAAAGGATGTCGTCTGGTTGTTAAACGACGAAAATCTCCAACTTCACAGTTCTTAGTTTAAAGAAGAAAACACATCTGGCCAGCCTGTGCCTCTCTTTGGGATGACGGTGAATAGAACTTAAGTCAAAATGGAACTGAGCTTAAAATGGCGTTGCCTTGTTTTATATCTCTGAATTGTTGATAAGTTTTAGTAAAGCGGATTGGACACTTTAAGTCAACAAGCCAGATTCTCCTGCGGCAGCCGAAAGCTCTGATTGGTTGGAACAATGTGTCATGCGTTTCTATGGAGATGAGGGTCAGTCTGTCTGTGTAATAGTCCTGTTTTCATTAAACACATAAATCATGACATCTTTATTCCACAGATCATTCACTTGATTATTATTGATCAACATCTGTTTCGACTAGCTTTAATCACAAATTAAGTACTTTGATTATTGAAAAGCGTTCTTCTTCTCCTTCTGGCTCTTCTCCTGGAATGTAAACAGTCTGAGGAACACCCGACCTTGGCGTTTTCTACACGGGTGTTACTGTGTACAGGGGCAGCTGTGTGGAGCTGAAAATAATGAACTTCATAACGTTACACAGTTATTGCACATTAAACAATGTACATGTTATTAAACAAATGCCCCGGTTTGTGGGACAACCAAGGATTTCTGATTCTGATTGTCTTGTTTACAGAAATGTAATGTACCGCTTACCTCTGCACCCAGCTGCTGTTCTCCCTGTCCAAACGTCCTCCGTTTCTTTGTTGGCTGCTGCACTGATGCGCTGCATTCCTCAGTCAGAGAATGAATGGAGTCCCCAATGAGACACAAGTTCCACATCCACCTTCTGTGGATCCCATCCGTTGTGAATAACAAACACAGAAAGCAAAATAACGCATTAGCGTGATTCCATCCAGCTAGCCACTGCTTCCTGGTGTACCAATTTTGGGAGAAGCGTCGTGTGTACAGTTTACCCTTCTCCTTGTCCTGCTGGCTTATCTTTACGTCGGGCTGATCTGGTCCAAGCTCTTTGACATTAAGTTTTTCCACCATAGTTCTCCTCTCGAACGGATACTGGAGAAGAGACCAAACTGAATTCAGTGGCTGCTGAGATCCGGTATCCATGTTCTAGGCGCACTGGCGTCCATGTCTACGTCTGCGTCACGACCGTCACGAGTCATGACCAAAAAGTGCTGGAGTCGAGACTCTCCGAGTTCTACCGAACACCAACGAAACCTTTGGCGGTAGCTCTATCGCCCATCATGCTTCTGAAACGTTCTGAAACAACGTTGACGCTGATTGGATACATTCCCATTCCTACCCTTTGATTTTCTTGTCAGCAATTGGACAACTGGTCCCGTCTTGTTTGGGCGATTGAAAAACAGCACACAGCCTCCACCGCTCGGCAGAGATCGGCAGAGACCAATATATTTATATTAGTGGTGGGCATAGATTAATGTTTTTAATCTAGATTAATCTCACTGTAATCTTGGAATTAATCTAGATTAATCTAGCTTAAAATGGCTCATTCAAATTCTGCCGAAGGCATATGTGTGTGCTACCTAGATAATGAATAAAAGCAAGTCTTTGAGAATGGAGGCGTATTTCTTGTTTCAATAATGCATCACAGACTGATAAAGCAGTTTTACTACGATAACTGATGATGAAAATAAATAATGATCAATAAGTATTTGTGTTTAATAGCTGTTTATTCAGTTCAACAAATTCTGCACTGTAGGTCTACAGAATAGGTCATGATTAACTATTTACAGTCAGTAGCATTTGTTCAATCAGTCCAAGCTCTATTTCTCCTTCTTCCACCAGTCACTCAAGCACACCAGCTTGTTCACATGGTCTGGTGACAAACTAGATCTTCTCTTCTGCACAATATAGCCTGCTAAAGAAAAAAGTATGTATATATATATATATATATATATATATATATATATATATATATATATATATATATATATACACACACACACACACACACACAAACTATCTGGCCTGGGGAGGGAGTTAAATTTCTGGGGTGCCCTTCCAATGCCCCCCTTTAGTTTGCATGTAGGATCGCCTCTGGTGAATGGGAGCGAGAGCTGGAAATGATGCCACAGCTCACCTGAATGAGCAGAAGCCAACTGTTGCTGTTGTTGTCTCTGAAAACGGCGAGGGGAGTTTTCCTAGCTCAACTTTTCTAAACAAATATAAAAATTTATGAGTAAAACGTTTATTATTACAGGTGAATTTGAGTCGAAGCCACATGAACAACGACCTGTAGAAACAATTTATCACTTTATTACAATAAACAGCTGCTAAAAGAGCTAAACTTAGTTGGAAACCGCACCTGTCTGAGAAAGTCTTGTTTTCTCACATCCGAGCGCTGCTTCGGCCGCGGACGGTGAAGTGTGGGCCGGGGAAAGCCCGGCTGGAAATGTCGGAGGTAAACAAAACAAAATAAAAAGAATGAAAGTCGGATTTACGGATTAAACTCTGGTGAAAGTACAAAAATTATTTACTTGTCCCGCGCGATGAGAAGGGAGAAGCGCTGCAGGTGGCGAAGGTGCGACTGTTCGGCTGCATGGGGAACATTAAACTCCGCGAGCCTGGCGTCCGTCCATACGTACGATGATCCGCGCCGAGTATACATCCGCGCCAACCAGGTATCCATCCGCGCAATGTGAAAGTCATAGTTTACTTAGTATAGACCCAGATCCCAACCCAACTTTGAGAATAGATTAACGGCGTCATTTTTTTTATCGCGCGATAAGAGTCTGGCTTTGCTGCAGCGCGTTAACGCCGATAACGGCCCACCCCTAATATATATATATATATATATATATATATATATATATATATATATGATTTATTTTTGTTACAAAACACACAATTAACTTAGAATATGTGATTATTGTTAATTTTATTTATTTATTTTTTAAAATAAAAATTAAAAACACAGGGGAAACTGGGAGGGCGGCGCCCTATCGCCCTCTACTGGCCAGCCGCCACTGATCTATAATAGTTTACCTTTTGAAGTCCATCCAGATCAAAACGTCCAGTTACTGGACAATTAACTAACAAAGATGGCTGAAACTCAGCCAGGTCAAGAGCTACTCAGGTAAACATTGGGGTCATAGTAGCTGAGGGTCACGTGTTATCAGGTTGTGCAAGACTTCTGTTAAAAACCTTGATATCACTGTAAGCCAACCATTTTGCTTTTGCATCAAGTGCATGTTTGACCAGAATGTCTCCTGATCTACTGGATGGATGTAATGAAACTATCAGGACGACTTGACTAGGACTGAATAACTTTTGCAACTCAAAGCCGTTACTTACGACGCCCGCAAGCACACTGACCTCAGTAAACACAAATATTTCTACACTTACAGTACAGGCCGCAAGTTTGGGCACACCTTCTCGTTCAGTGTGTTTTCTTATTTTCACGACCATGACCATTTACGAAGGGGCCGACAAGTGCTAAACAGCTCT